CTCCCAAGGTTGTCAGTAAGTTGCATCTGGATGGGAGATTGGTGAAGTTGCAGCAGCCGCTGGAAGTCCGTATAGGGGACTCTTCCACAGTTCGGATCACCACTACTATCAAGAACCTACCAGTTATCTATGACAAGCAGGAGAAGGTCAGGCAGCGTCTGAACTTCTATGTTTTTCCTAACGTGCCTTTTGATCTTGTGTTTTCCACGCGGTGGCTAGAGGCCACTAACCCTAGGATTGACTGGCAGATCCCTAGGGTAGAGCTTCCTGACAGTAGAGGGGACTATCAACCTTGTGTGCTAGCTGATGAGTACTACCCAGTCAGCAGTTGCTATTGTTTGACGGCACACAAGTTCTTTCAACTCTCTCACCAGACTGCCCACACACGTCTGTTCGTCGCGTATGTGAATCCGACTGGTGTGGATGCTTCTCCTTGTCCCCCACCGATTCAGCAGGTTTTGGACCAGTTTCCAGACCTGATGCAGGAGCCTACTGGCACCTATGAGTACCTGGTCATGCCTTTCGGTCTTTGCAATGCCCCTTGCACATTCCAGACAAGAATGCATCGCATACTCAGGCCTTACCTGGACAGGTTTGTAGTTGTATACATGGATGATATCCTGGTATTCAGTCGATCTGTCGAGGAGCATGCGCAACATCTGGCTCTAGTTCTTCAGACACTACATGAGGCCCAGTATAAGGTACTTTCACCGCAAAAGATGCAAAGTCCTCCTTTGGAGTGACTTCTGGGACTTATCTGGGACATGTAATCTCTGGGGAACGGTTGGCTCCTGAAGCAACAAAGGTTGCTGCGATTCAGGACTTGCCACAACCTACCACAATGTGTGATGTCCGGTCATTCTTGGGTCTTGCTTCATACTACAGAAAGTTCGTGAAGAACTTTTCTGCTATTGCTGCACCCTTGACTAACCTTTCAAAGAAGAAACCCACTTTCTTTGGACATCAGTCTGTCAGCAGGCTTTTACACGCCTCAAGGAGGCCTTGATGCGTGCACCTGTTCTGAAGTTACCTGACCCTACCTTGCCCTTCGTACTAACTACTGGTGCTAGCCAGTATGGGGTTGGGGCAGTACTTCAGCAGGATTGTGGGCATGGTCTGCAACCTGTTGAGTATATGAGTAAGAAAATCAAAGTAAAGAAGCTGCAGGATTCCATGTACGCGAAAGAGTTGTATGCTCTAGTGTCAGCGCTAAAGCATTGGAAGCATTTCCTCATGGGCAGACACTTCAAGATCTACCCAGATCACTCCACCTTGCAGTGAATGAAGACCCAAGGGGAACTGAATGACAAGCTTGCGCGCTACATTTAGTTTATTGATCTCTTCGACTTTGAACTGAAACACAAGAAGGGCTGCTACAATCGTGTAGCAGACGCCCTTTCTTCGTAGGCCTGACGCTCTCTGCCTGATCTCCTCTACTCATACTTTTGGGGAGAGCACCCGTCAGACCATCGCCCAGTTATTGCCACAGGACCCGATTTTTGGCCCGATTGTTAGGAATCTGAAGGCTGATCGTGCCTCAGAACCAGCATACATTCTGGTTTCAGGCCTAGTGTACACTTGCAGCAGAGGAGAGGAACGTCTGTGCATCCCTCAGAAGCGCCAGCTGAGAACACTCATTATGTCTGAGTATCATGATGCTCGCGGCCACTTTGGGGCCTTAAAATCGTTGGCATCCCTGTCGCAGCGGTTCTTCTGGCCAGAAATGAGGAAAGACCTGCTGCACTATGTCGAGACCTGTGAGTTGTGTCAAAGGAATAAGGTCGCTCGTCGGCCTCCCCTTGGCCTACTGCAGCCACTTCCCATCCATGAGGCACCGACACAGTCAGTGTCTATTGATTTCACTGACTTAGGGAGGACTACTCCTCGCGGGATGCGTTAGGTCATGGTGTGTGTGGACAGATTCTCCAAGTACGTAGAGTTTATTCATTTGCTAGAGGAAGCCAGAGTCCCGACCGTGCAGGCGGCCTTTGCTGACAAGTGGGTTACTCACCATGGACCACCCACCTCTATAAGTGACAGAGATCCGCGTTTCTGCAGCAATGAATGGCAGTCCTATTGTAAGGACTACCTTCATTCCCGACTGGATATGACATCTGGTTGTCATCCTGAAGCCAATGGGCAGGCTGAAGTGATGAACCAGATCCTTTTCCAGTTGTTGCGTCCTGTGATCAGCCCTGATCGCCAGGATTGGGATCTTCATCTAGGACGGGCACAACTAGTGTACAACACGTCTGTACACTCCTCCACAGGGTTCGCCCCTTATCGATTGCACTGGGGACGTGAGCCATGGCAGCCTCTCGATGACATCATCGATAAGGCTACCCCCAGACTGACCCCTGGGACTGCAACATTCACCAGACATTACGAGAGGGATATCGAACGAGCCAGAGTTAACCTGCTCAAAGCCCAAAAGGCTATGATTCAGCAGGCTAACAAACATCGTCCACCATCCCCCATTCGCGTTGGTGACTGGGTCTGGGTACTCAGTTACGAGTTATCACGAGAGGAGGACATTCCGCCTAAGCTGTTGCCGCGTTACATGGGTCCATGGCAGGTTTTAGATACAGTGGGAGCTGACCCTTTTGGGCCATCTTATCACGGAGACGTCCCACTGCACCTACAAACCTACCCTGTCTTTTATGCATCCAAGCTGCTGCCATTTATCCCGACTGATGCATTTCCAGACATGCCGCCTTAATTTGGTCCCCCGATCCTTGGGAAGGGATATGAGGTGGAATCAGTTGAGGATGAGTATGGTACATGCCCGGATAAGGAGTACCTTGTGAAGTTTCTTTACCAGCCCCATACTGAGGACCTCTGGTTTACTCGCAAGGAGCTTCTGAAACAGCAAAGTTTGTTATCCTCAAATATGAGGCTGCGCAAAGGGGAGAGCCCCTTCGACGCTCTGCACGCCTACGCCCCTAGCTCGGAGGTCCTCGCTCCGGGGGAGGGTAGGTCTGCAATGACTTGCTGGTTCCAGGTTGCCTGTAGCCTCTCTCTGACGAAGCTGTACCATAGGTAGGGATAGATTCAGTATTTTGTTTGGCTGAGGGCTAACCGAGAGACCTACCTGTAAGGAAAATTCGTGAGGGACATATTTGTAAATATAGGAAACATGGGCCCAGTACTAACTCGAATTTCCTACAGCTACCCTAACTGCGAATAGCAGGCCCGGGCTATCCCTATGACAGACCGGCCCAATGGGCCTACGCTGATAGACGGTCCTATAGCCTGTAGAGGCCGAAACAGAAACGGTACCGGTCGGTCAGTCGGTCGGTCTAGGTCGTGTCTAGGCTAGTTTAGAGTATAGATAGGATGGAGACTTCGGTCTGGGGCTTTTGGCAGTTGACACTTCGTGATGGAAGTTGCTGCGCACACGGTATCAGGTCGTGATTGCTGATTCCGGTGTGGGAGATGGCGGACATAGCCAGACCTTCGTGGGGTCAGCGCTGTCCGCTCTGACTCTTTGGGAGTCAAAGCGGTCTGGGCTATCAGAGGTCTGATGCGTTGGAGCACATGGTGCACTGCTGACCCTCCTCAGGAGTAGGGTCCCAGTGGCGATGCAGCCATAGCTGCATCTTCTCAGAGATTATCATCGTCTGGACTTCATCTTCATCAGGGACTGTTGGCGTTGAGCTTCTTCTTCATCATCTGGGTGGTGATTGGCTCTGGGAGCCTGTTTCACTTTGGCGCAGGGCACTGAGTTGGATGTCAGGGTGGCGCTGGGTGTTACCTGGGGTTCTGGTGCTATTTTTAGCTGCTCAGTGTGTGTGGGGTTGAGGCGCTTCCCCTCTGAGTATAGTGCAGCAGGGTTCTGAGGTTATTAAGGGAAAATGATGCTCTGAGTTTAATAAACAGTTGTATTACTGTGTTTGAGTTGTCATCTCTTCATTGATTTCTGGCTGTGATCTCTCGGTTGTCTTCTATGAATGATTGCTGGGACCTGTGTGGAGAGAATTCACTGTGTTGTGTATTCTGTCACTTCGCTCCCCTGAGTCTTCCGCTGTGTTCCTTTTGTTGGGCGGTGTGACACTCCACCACCTCTCCCCTTCCTTCTGTGGATGTATGGGCGTGTATGGGAGTTCCTGTGAGTGAGTGTTGATATAATTTCAACAGATAATCATGTTCATAACATGGCCCTATTCAGTTCACCCGTTGGATTTGGCAATATGATGTGCACAAGTGCTTCTTTTTGTCTGCCGGGGATGGCTTATAGATGATTTCTGGATCATCTTATAGAACTGAAACGGCACCTCATATTAGATCAAACAATGGAAATACGCTTGCGGTTGCTTCACGAGACAACAAAGCAGCACCAACCCTCACTGCGAATGTTCAGATTTGGGAAGCCGTATGGTGTGCTGAGCGCGAAAACTCTTTGTGCCAAGTCCTTTTCTTTCCCAATGTACGACCTGATAGTGTTGCTGCTATTGCCGTGGAAGTTGCCGCTTCTGAAATTTCCCTTGCACCAAGCGAAGTCAGGGATCGCATGTCTTGTGAGAAAGGGAAGCTGTTATGTCTTGGTTTTCTCAATCTGTTCCTGCAATGGCATTCCACCGTGGTCGTGCACCACCGTCAGACAACAGGTATACAAGGCTAACATTAGTTCACCCCTGAACTCTTTTCCACTTCCCCCCAGGTAAGGTCAAGGGCTTGGTCCCATTGAAAAGTCATGTTTCCACTTATTGTCTGATGTGCATATCTCTGCACTCCTGGAAAGACTTCACACCTGTACTCGTATTTATGTACGGTAAGACAACGTGGTTTTTCTCCTGCACGACCCTGAGGTCCTCCATCTTGCCAACTGCTTTCCTCCTCTTCTTGTCCTCAATTCTCGTCTATTGTCTTCTTGCAGTTTATGGTTATCACTGTAGCCTACTCCTTTGACTATTTGTTTGTTGTTTTGCCCCCTCTGATTAGTGTTGCCTATCTTCAACTATTTTTTTCTGTTTCTTCTATTCCGCCATTGCCTTTTGCAGGTTGAAATCAATACCCACAAGTTCTTTGTTGGTTACAATCAAGGCAGGATGCATCCAGATGGGTGGCCAGAGATGTTAAAGCTGAAAGATTGGCCTCCGAAAAGCTTGTTCAAGGAAAGGTTGCCGCGTCACTGCAAGGACTTTGTTGAGAGCTTGCCTTTCCATGAGTATACGCATCCTGAGAAAGGTGTACTCAATCTGACAACAAAGCTTCCTCCCGGGGCAATTGCTCCAGACCTTGGACCTAAGACATATATTGCATACGGGGTTCGTGAAGAGCTCAGGAAGGGTGACTCTGTAACAAAGCTGCACTGTGATATGAGTGATGCCGTAAGTACTACTAATATATCGATCTCATACTCATGTTTAGGGTCCCTGGCAATCACTCATTACCCTCAGCAGCACATTGAAATGGACCTTAATTCATTCCTCAGCGACACCGAGAAGATAAGCATGGCCCCTGCATAAGGATGACACACAAATCGAGAAAATGGTTAAAAAATATATATACAAAAAAAGAATCAATGCCTCTTGAGTCTTTACCATTAGTTTAAGGAATACTTCTGATGCAATCAGACTCACTTTCCTTTCCACTTCGCACACATGCAAACAGATGGCAATTCACACTGGCGCACAGCGCCCACTCAAAGCTCAGAGATATGACAACCGAGAACACAGTTCAGATGCAAACTCGCTTCAGCAAGCTATGGCGCATCAGCGCCTTCACAACCCAACTCTCGTCACTGTGTTTAATACCACTGTTCGCCCGCACTCAACTCTGGATCACCCTGAATACTCCCACGCACACACACTTTGTCACTCACTCGTACACACTCACTAACTCCTATCACTACAGCGGCTATGACCGCTCCACCTCTACTAACTATGGCTATGCTATCATCTCTCAGCCCACTTCGACTTCGGGCGACCTGCAGACCACGTCGCAGAAGACGCTGAAGCAGCGCTTCTGCATGGCTTACACAGCGAATGAATCAATAGATTTATACTTCTGTAACTCGTTGGTCTGCCCCCTTTCCCCCGGGCCCATGGTGCACAAAGCCCCTCATGGTACTTGCTGGCTGTGCAAAGAGAGACTGGGACTGGGTACTGCTGACTCATCGGCGTTGGACTCCACCACTTGCCCACTTGCCTGTGCCTAAACGTGAGACACTTTCGAAAGGCCACTTCCGGACCTTCCGGAAGTCTGTGGACTTGGCCTTTCGAGTACTGTAGCAGCTACGACCTTGCCCTTTCAGGACTGTAGCAGCTACGGCCTTGACCTCTCAGAACACCTACAGCTACGACCTATTCGACAGACCTACAGATCAAACCCCTACAACTACACAGACCTACGACAGACAACAACCAACTACCAAAACACAGGTCACGGGTTCAAACACTCTGGGGTCAACTCGATACTGTACATGGGCAAGGTAAGGTCTGGGGATCGAACTCTAGGGCCCGCATCTGTGACTGCAGAAAGGTGAAAAACGTTTCACTGACCATTTTTTCTCTTTATGTTACGAAAGGGCAATGCCGCAATGACCTTCAGATATCTGGGTAAATTCAGAGCTATTTTACTCGTCTGCATCCAGTAGATTTCCAACTTGGGTACTGACAGGCCTAGCTCAGTTGGTACACCCATGAACTGTTGAAATATAGACGAGGCTGTCACCCTTTCTTTGAAAAGGTTTTGAACTTGGGTCTATGTTTCCGCAGTTAATGGTGGTACCGACCAAGCGAGGTCTGCTGGTTCTGACCCTTTTTTCGTTCTTTGCTCTGCTCTTTTTCTTGTTCTTCGGAAGACCTTTCTAATGCAAGGAAATGAGCAATGCGAAACCAGATTGCAACATTCGGTACAAATTAAGACAACTTGGAGCCCGAACTTACTGCAGACTGCAAAGCGAGCTAACACCAAATGAGTATGAGCGATGATAATGAAAGCCTTCTTCTCACCTCCCATCAACAATGTTAACAATGTAGCTCTTCTAGATTGGCACTCGGCGGCCAGACTACTGACAGACTGCTCCTACAATCTGGACTCCCATCTACAACTGGTCAGTTATGGAAAACATCAGCCCAATGTATGCATGAAGGCACCGATCGTACGGTCAGCTTCTCTTCCACCAGCTGAGTGCCTCATCACATCGCCCCCTCTCCCTGTCTTCCTTCACCACGGCCTCTTTGCTTAGGACCACCACTCAGCAGCCTGGGTATGGCTGCTGCGCTCTGCCAGCTGCACCCTCGCAGCTCTTTCCTGTGCGCCCCGCTAGCGCCTATCTTCCTTCTCTGGCCCGGCTCTTCTCCAAAAAGTGAGCGCTCCTGGAGCTTTGCTGCGTCCAGCCAGCCAGAATGTGTGGAATGAGCTGACTGCTCATCCTTTTGTTCTGGCTGGATGCGCAAGGCAGGCCTGGACTGGGCATCCTCCATCCCAGTAGCTGTGCCCAGGGCCCTTCCAGAATGTGCCTTGGGCTCAACCTGAGCCTCAGCATCTTCATCCAACCGGGCGACCGGTTGGTTGGAGATGCTGCATGCAGCAACCGACCTGCGGGCCCCTTTCTGCTCACATCGGCCTCAATCCAGGCTGCAAGGAATTTTTGCAGGCCTCCTTCACTTACGGGAGGTGCAGGACACTTTCCAGCATGCAGAGGGCCCTGATTCCTCACACTAATAGCATGAAAAGCAACATACACTGATTTGTAATATCAAGGTCCCTAATGGGCAGTTGAGAGTTGAGCGGGGATCATGGCATGTGTTCTGGAAGCCAATCTGGCCATGTGTACGAGTCTGTGGGCACATACCAGGTTCGAGGCGCTCCCGTGAGCACGAACTGCCATGGCTAAATCACAATCTTGATGACCAGTTCGTTTGGCACAGTCATCATTGTGGCCCTTCTTTCGCAATGGTTATCATCATGGCGCTTCTTTCCCAATGCTTGTCATGGTGCCCCTTCTGTTCCCAATAGTTGTCATGGTGGCCTTGTGCGCAGCCATGTCATCACTGGTCCATTCAGTGAATTGTGCTGTAGTCAATTCATTTTCCTTCTGCTGAAGCCCTTTCCTTTGCAGCGCATGGTTCTAGGTCTGTTGAGCTTTGAAGGCACTATTGCCATGTGGGCTGTTTCACCTTTATAAGAGTTATTATGGTCATTCTTGTTATCATAATGTGTTTTGATTTTTAAACAGGAAGCAATTTTATTTCATAAAATTTTATTTTCTATTTATTTATTTTAAATTATTTATTTATTTATTTATTTATTTATTTATTTATTTATTTAATCCTACTCCCTTCTGCGAGGATCTGAGTCCTCGGCAGGCCTAAGGGGCCCCGGTTGCAGTGGTGCCCGCCCAAAGTGAAGGCGGGCCTAACATATCACAAGAGGCCTTTGACTGTCAATTTCATATTTGGGGTACAGGCAGTTGCGGCGCGCCAGTTGGTTGAGAGAAACACAGGCCAAGCAACCAAGACATTTCCACAGCCTTCTGGGCCTTTCCGAAGAATGCAGGCCCTGGGCGAGAAACGCAGCCTCATACACTGACAGTTGGGAGGCCCAACCGAAAGCGGCCCAGTAGCTGCAAAATAGCACGCAGCATCCTGGGGCCTACCGGAAGCTTCTGGGCCCAGGCCCAACCCAGCCAGGCTGCGAAGCAGACAGGCTCTTTCCATAAAGGAAAGAGCTCGCCACTCTCAGCCTAATTCAGGCACTCGCATGCTAGCGGCAGCGCTGCTGGAGCAAAGGCTCGTGGGCTGCTGCTGGCGCTGAGAGGCGAAGTGCAGCACGTGCGGTCGTGCAGGGAAGAAGGGCGCTGCTGAGGGCAGCGCCATAGCCCATCCACCATAGCTGGTGGGCTTGGACTACAGTGAGGCGCATGAGTGGTCTTCGGGTGTAAGGGAGGAAGACGTGGGTGTAAAGTCAGGGAAGGGTGAAGGATGATGATGATGATGATGTGAGGGCACATACCTTGTATTGGCGATGGTCTGCATTGGGCGACATCTTCAAGTACTTCGGGTTGCCGCTGATGTCAACAGTTGCATTGTCAATTAGTAGGCTGATAATAGCTGTGTAGGAGTAGGCTGGGCGCTGAGCGCCAAGTAGGAGAGTGAAGGGACTGGACTCTTGTGTTGGTGTGGAGAGAGAAAGCTCTCCGTGACACTGGTTTTCAGTACTACGAACCTCCATTGGTGTATTATTGGTGCAATGCTGCTCTCTGGACACGGTGTGACTATCTGGCTTTCAATGTGATTGTGTAATCTGGATTTGTCATCTCGCTGTTGCTCATTTTCCTGGCAATTTGGTATCGGAGCTGGTTCATATTGCGCTTCATTGGTTCTTCGCAATAGCTGTTCGGTGCTTCGCATGAGGTGTGGGGCAGTGATAAGGCTTGGGCGTTGAACGTAGGGCGGCCCAGGGTCGTGTGGGCGCGCCAGGAAGCTATGTGGTGACATTAGGGATGTATGCTGGATGATGAGAGCTCGCTGATGTGGCATTTAAGCTGAGGTGGAACTGCATTCTACTGTTGGTTGTGCCAAGGCAAAGACCGGTGATCATAAATGCACATCAGGTTGCCGGTGAGAAATTTGTGGTTGGGGGCAGCATTATAAGGGACGTTGCTCTCTTCCTTATCTACCCTCTTCATTACTTCTTACTGTGAGGAAGTGAGTCTTGTCTTGAGAGTCCTCTCGATGTGAGGTGTCGCGAGCGCTCAACCTTGAGAGTCGACATTCTTCCTGGGCAGCAAGTTGGTGGGAGACGGGCGTAGCCTCTGAAGGGCCCTGGACGAAGCACTCGAGTCACGGTCACCATGCCAACCCACTAGGATTAGTACACGAATGCTTTGCCGCAAGTCCTTGGTTGTGCTGCGTGCGCAATAGAGGTCATGCAGGGCATGCCAGCCCTTTGAACAGACGCTTACTAGACCGTCTCTAAATATTTCTGGCAGGGACTCGGTATTGATTTTGGCTGTGATCGTCGTCCTGTCTGCGACGTTAAATAATTCCTGAGGAGTTACGGGGGATCTCCTAAAATGCCTCCTAATCAGCCAGATCAAACCGGGTGTAAGGCTCGTTGCATGCGAGGATAAATAGTGTGCAGGGGCTGGCAGGTTCGGTGTTGACTTGGGGCACAGGAGTGGGCCGGATTGCACACCTTTGGACACGCTGCTCAACCAGATGCTCAGGGCGTTGACACAAAGTGACAACTCAAGAAGGATACAGGGGGAGGGGGGATTCCGGTAACTGTTCACAGTGGCAATCATTAGACAATCTGCCATCCAGCATACATCTCCAACAGGAGATACTGTTTTTATTTTTTGATTATTTAGTTGTTACAG